CAGTTTGTCCACTGCCAGATCCAGGGACAATCATCAGCACTGCTTCAGCAGGGTCGGGCATGAGAGAAAGACATCTCACATCAGGATCATGGATGTTTGCTTTTGATGGGCCATGACCCTGTGTACAGGATGAGAGAGTAAAGATGATGGAGAAGGAGTATTTCTGCTGCTTACTCAATGAGAAATAATTTCTGATTCTAAATAAACCTGCAATGGTTGTAGTCTGAATTAAATTTGCCATTCAGTTTGTTAGAACTCCCAACACTCAAACTGTACTGAGCTAAAACAGATGTAGATACCATTAATTTCCTGTCAAATAAAGAACTCCAGATCAACTAAATGTAAAGAACACTGGAGGTTTACAAGAGAGCTGGAGAGAGACTTTGGACAAGGTATGGAGATACAGGCCAAGGGACAGTGGCTTCCCACTGCCAGAGGGCAGGGTTAGGTGGGATATTAGGAAGGAATTTTTGGCTGTGAGGGTGCTGAGGCCCTGGCACAGGTTGCCCAGAGAAGCTGTGGCTGCCCCATCCCTGGAAGTGTCCAAGGCCAGGTTGGACGGGGCTTGGAGTAACCTGGGCTAGTGGAAGGTGTCCCTGCCCATGGCAAGGGGTGGCACTGGATGGTCTCTAAGGTCCCTTCCAACCCAGACTATTCTGGGATTCTGTGAACACTGAACTGCCACTAAACCAGAAAAAGAGTCCTGGAGCTGCTTGGAAGTGCAGGCAGCAGGTCAGGACCTCAGATGACCAAACTTTCACTTGCAGACCCAGGCAGGGAAATCCTGGGCTGCCACAGATGTATTAGGGAGCCTGAGAGCCCCCCAGAACAGCCACCCCCACCCCAACCAACGCTGCAGCAGCAGGAACCCCCCAGCCCGAGGGGCACCACTCCCCCAGCACAGCAAACACTCCCCAGCCCTGTTCATGTGTGTGCTCAGGACACCCAGCTCCCCGTGCTCAGATATGTGTCAGCACATGCCGTGGGCAGCCAAGAAAGGAGGTCAAGCAGAAGGCAGCACTGACTCACAGCAGGCACATGTGGGGCTGCACAGCAGCTCGCCCTGAGCACGGAGCACAGCTGCACACACAGCGGGAGCTGCGGCCCCTGCGAACTCCCCAACGCCTCATCTGGGCTCTGGCTTCTCAAAACCAGGACATATTTTTTAGGTAACAGTGCAGAAAGGCCCTTCTCTTGCAGCACAAACCATGAACTGCTCTTAGCAGCAGTTAGAGCTGAACATGAAGTGCACTGTAAACGTGGCAAGAGGAGCAAACCATTGCCAAGCGCTGGGAGGGATTTCTCATTTACACCACCAGTGCAGCAATTCAAATTATCCATCACGTACAGAAGACCCTGTAAGGTCCCTGGGGGGCTATTCCAGACCTGTAGCTTCCATCCTAAGCAATTTTAGTGAATCCTATAAAGTGTGTGAAAACGGTAGATGTCAACTGTAAGCTTGAAGGGCTGAGGCACTCCTAAAAATAACAGGAACACAACTCCCTACTACTTTCAAAGCTAAAACCCTCCAGCTAAAGCTCTCTCATCTAGCCTAATAATTGACTGCAAATAACATTAAATATGCAATCTCTCTCTGAGCTCTGTTTCCTACACAACTGTGCATGTAGGACTTGCTCCCCCAAACCAAATTCTCATCCCCACACATCAGAGAAGGCTCACAAATATCAGAGGAAGTTTTCACTCAAGGGTTATGTGGCAGAGGTACCTCTGCCAGAGGTACCTCTACTTCTGGATTTTTCCCCCTCACTGTAACGTTTTAGTATAAAAAACCCTTTCAGCTTTCTAACTACAACTGCTACACAAAGAAAATTATAAGTAAGTTCATACTTGGGGATTTTCTGGCTCTAAGATAAAATCAGAAGATGTGCAATGTCAAATCTGCTGATCTAACTGAAGGGAAGACAAGATCAGGCCCAGAGAGGCATGGACAATCCACTGGAAGGAACAGCTCCATTTAAAAGGAGACACACAAAAAAAGAGATAAAATGGAAAGGAAGAACATGACAGGATAACAAAGCATAACAGAAGTCAAGTTTCTTTTCAAGTATAAAGGATAAAGGTGTCAGGCACTGGTTCTAATTTGAAGAGCATAGTATTTTTGATCCTTTAATGTGAGTCCAAGTTAGGAACAAAGTAGATGAAAAGTGACTACTATGAACTTGAACAGGTGTGGGAAAACCACTCTTTATTTAAATCTTTTTTTGGAAGGGAGGACAAGAAAAAAAGAAAAAAATTCAGAACTCCCAAGTGACCAGAAAAAAACTGCTAAGCTGATTCCTCTGTACTGCCTCAGATGCACAGGACTGGCAAAGGCAGCAAGAAGGGGAATGTCCTTCCAAGGACTTGGAACTCACATCAAATCTCCTGCCTGCAAACACCCAAACAAAGCTGCAGGAGCATTAGTGAAGAGCAGAGTGTGAATCCAGAGACAGTCACCCTGACACAGGGGCTCATCTGTGGAGCACAGCCCCGAGCTGTGCAGAGGATGAGCTCACACACATCCCTCTGCACAAGTCCAAGGAGGATAAACCACGTTCCTGATTCCAGGGCACAACAAAGGGCATGAGAAACCCCGTGTGTGTGAGCCAGGCCAGGAAGCAGGGAATTGTTTGCCTCATTTGGCTGTGACAACCCTATTTCTCAGACACATATGTAAGCAAAGCTCATGTGTGAGCAAAGCACACACACTGTTTTCTATAGTATGGTCCAAACATTTGAAGTTCTGAGGGAAAAATACTTTTCCTAACTTACTTCCTGTGGTCTGTTCAGGCTGGCATGAGGTATGGCCCTCCCCATTATACAGAGGAGGAATTAAGCACAAATGTGTCAGGTTGAAGGGTGCCTAGAGATCTGTAAAACTAGGGGTGTCTTGAGGTCACCCTGTGACCTCTGCTTTCCTACCACAGCCTGAGACCTCGGCACTCCAAAGGTTCCCACAAAGCAGTTGAGGGGAAAAGATGAAAGCAGCTGAATGTCAGGTTCCCAGTGCTGAGGAAGCTGCTGTCAGATTTATGGTGAAGCAGATTAACAGCAATGCCACGTGCTGAGGAGCAAAACAGCTTCACTACACACGCCCACTCTCCCTGCAAAACTTCCAGCAACTGCCAGCTGGTACCTGACAGCTCTGCCAGATCCTCGCTGCCTCCACACGAGCGGGAGCTCCTTTGAACACACCAACTGTGGGAGCAAAGCCTGCACCCAGCTCAGCCTGCACAGACCACCACCAGGCTGAAATGCTGCTTTCCAGTACCAGGGCCTGCTGTGAACACATGATTTTCACAGGACATCAGGGTGGGACTAAGGGGTCTACATTCACCTCGCTGCTCCACTGCACAGTCCTCTGGGTCACCCTGGACACGGAACTTCTTCATAAGGAGGAGGACTAACAACTTTGCTAAGGTTTGCTGAACAACTAAAGGATGGCATTCACAAACCCAGCCCTGAAATCCCAGGGAACTTTATCCTGTTATGTTGAAAAACTGAAAGCAAATAAAACTAACCCACTTGAAAACTAACCCCACGAGCCCCTGGCCTTCAGGCATGTGCTAACAAGCTTAGAGAGGATTTGTCTCGAGGCAGCCCTCCTATATTAGCAGCCAATCAATTGAGGAGCATCTGGTGGTAGGTTTATCCTGCTAATAGAGACAACAGGAATGTGGGGAGGTGTGCATGGAGCAAAGGCTACCAGTACCTTCATCACAAGTACTGTGTCTTATTCTCACACAGGGTGCACTGGGAGAGCAAAGAACACAGCCAGGAAAGCTTCACCACCACAAACACCAGCCCCAGACTGGTCAGGGCACTTCATGGCATGTTACTGTTAAACAGATGTGGCAAATCCCAGTAAGACTGGGGGGAAAAATGGAGATGGGGGTGTGGATTTGGGAGGGACTGTCACCAAAAGAAGTGTTGATTGGGATGAGCAGAGCGTGAACAGGAACCACTGAGCTGCTGCTCCCTTTGGGGTCTGTTATTCACACCGAGGAACAAACAATGTCTCCCCCAGCTTTAACTATTGAAATAGAAGACTGGAGGCTCTTCTGGATAAAACAGATCCTATGGCATGTATTTCCCAGGAAACTAGAAGAGGAAACACTGCCAAGAAGAACACAATATAGGCTCTCCCTTCCATTCATGGGAATTTCAGCTGCCTGCAATGGCTGTAGTTTTCCATCTTCATTCTTGGGCCCTAATAGGCTAAAGAAATCAAGTCTCAGGGACTGAAATGCCCAACAGATTACAGAGCAAAGCCTTGCAAGACTCCATAAGCATCTCTGGGCAACGCCCAAATGCTCAGGGCTGCCCTTGAAATGCAAGCAACAAACCTTTCAGAAGGGTATTTGACTCACACCCAGTTGTGACCAAGTCCAGAAAATCACTTAAGGTATCTGCCATGGTCACAACAACTGTCTGCATCACCACTGAATGACCTTCAATGACAGCTCTGAAGCCCCTTGTGGAAATCACAAAACTTGGAGAGAGATCTCCCAGCAGTTCAGCCATGGAGTGGATAGGGAAGAAAAATACAGAAGAATTTTTTCAAAAGATTTCCAGCTTTTAACCAAATCCAAAAGATCAGTATCATTCAGAATCCAGTTCTAGATACACCCATCCTACAGTGCTGATTGGGATCACATCTGGAGAGATTCTGAACCAAGGGGCATTTGGTGAGAAGGCCACAAACTGACCCTTCCTAACTGAATGTCACAATCTTTTTCCTTCCTTGTCAAAGAATAATTACAGAAGGTTTTGTTGGATTTTTTTTTTTCCCTTCTAACGACTAAGCTGCCTCTCTCAAAATACTGAGATATCGATTCTTATTTTTCACGGAAAATGGAAGGAGAGCTGAGCCTCTGTTCCTGCACTGTACCCACAGGGCTGCCACAGAGATCCAGCCACAGCCACAGTCCCCCCCCTCCCACTGGCCCGAGGCTGCACCCTGAGCAGCTGGAGCAGGAGACGTGCTGAGTGTTACTCACTGCCATGACGAGCTCAAAGGGATATTTGTAGACTCGAACTGGGGACTGGTATTTCTGCACCATTTTTACCACACACCTGGAACAGACAGAAATTGGAACATTTTAGATCCAGACAGCGCAATACGTTCTAAGTAATTTTGACAGACCTTACTAGAAGCCTTAACTCTTTTTACAAATAGAGAGGAGATATATATTAGACAGAATATCTTGTTTAGTAAGTGGCAGAGACAGAAGAGACTAGTCTCTGCAGTCCCAGTCCAGGGCTGTGTCCAGCACACAGCAGCACCCTGTGCAGCTTCCCAACAACTTAGAGCTCCAACAACTCACAACAATTAAAGCACAAAACAGAGATGTAAAGCCAGAATCAATCACACTCTGGAGAAGAAGCCCGACTTAGGAGCCTTACAAAGCTTACAGGGTGATTCTTCCCTGTACCCCTCTTTCTTACATTACATTTGTAGTCATTAGGCAAAGTCCTCCCCGTTAAAAGCTTCCACAGCTTCCCGAATCTTGGTGTTAAAATGCTTTTGTGCACAAAGTAGCCTTGAGTTGTTTTAGCCCACTGAAAGGAAGGAAGAGGAAACAGCCTGCTGAAAGAACATGCCTGATGCTAAGCTGGCAATCACATCCCACTGCCTGGATGCCCACTGTTCCAGCTGAACTGAGGCAAGAGCTGCAGGCAAGGGGAACAATTCAGCCCTCAGCATTTCGCTGCTCCCAACCACCTCTCACTGTTCTCATCAGGATTCCTCCCTCACACTCTCTTGCCAGGGTTTTAACCCTCAAATATGCATCAGTAACCAGCATCTCAAGGAAGCACATGAACCATTAAAAAAAAGGTTATTAGGCTGCTTTCTGCAATTCCTTTAGGAATTCCTTTGTATTGCTCCCTCTAACACCATCTGTGAACATCAGGAGCACAAAAGGCTGGATGGCTGGTTGGAGACTGTGCTGATTCCACCCCACTCAAATTCCACTGCTAAGCAGACACAGCCCTCGGCAACATGACAGTGTAGCACTGAACTCAAACGTCAGAGCAGTAAGACAACTTATCCCTGACATTTTGAGCCCAAAACCTGAGCTGAAACATGAATTAAAATGCAAACAGCAATAGATTCTCCCTCAAAGTCTGCTGCAAAATGCCATTACACGGTGCAATCTAAGCAAGGGAGAGGGGAAAAGGACTTGAAAAAGTTTGAGTACCTGAGAACCGGGAATGTCTGTAGGAATGGGGTGGCACAATCATCTGCAGAGGATCACATTATCCAAGGAGCAAAGCCCAGGACTCTCTGGATCTCTAAGTGTGACTGGTACTAAAAGCCAGTCCAGTGGTGCTGAGCCAGTCAGTGCAGAGAGAACCCAAGAGCAGAGCATCCAGCCCCGAGTGCAGCGCGCGGGGCAGGGCCCAGCACACCCCTGGCAGCGATCGGGTATCGGACACCCGAGCCAGGGGGCACCGGGCACCTTGGAGGGCAACGCTGTAACATGACTAGGGCAGGAACCGTCCCACCCCCTGCACACAGAGCACGAGGAGCTGGGATCGTGCTCCCTGTTCTGACCTCGCTGTCACACCAGGAGCTCCTGCACCTCTGCAGGAGAGGGTCAGGGACCTCCACAGCAGGAAGCCTCAGGACAGAGCAGCCAGTCTGGAATCCCCCACAGCCCAGAAATGAAGTCACAGAACAACAGGACAGCACAAGCAGTGGCCCAGCAGCCTTCACGATGCTGCTTGGACAGATCCCCTGCTCCCTGGCAGCAGCTGGACCCGACTGCCACAGGTTTATTGCCTCTACTTCTCCAGCTGAGGGAACGTTGAGAAAAAGAGCCAGTGACTATTACATCCACAGGGAGCTGTGGAAAAAAGACAGCTGATAACTCACACCTGCCCTAGAAACCTTTCATACCTCGGGAGAGTGCAGTGGCAGCAGACCTTCTATGCCCTCTCCTCAAAACAGAGCTGCGAGACCGTCATCCTGCTTCTCAAAGCACGAGGGCCTCCTGCCATAATTCCTGGAAAAAAAGGAAAAAAAGTCAGAAAAGGCAGTAAAAGGTGGGTATTCTGCACACCAAGCTACAGGTGATGACCAGCACTGATAAGGACTAAGACTCCCAGGTGTTACCACTGGGCAGCTGAGCTGTATTAGCTCCAGACCTGTATCCTCCCAGGGCTTTTACACCAAAGAGACGTGTTTTAAAGTCATCTCATGTGTTCCACCCAAATTATAAACAGATATGTTCAACTCTCTTGTAAAGAAAACCAGAAAGAAATGACAGAACCACAGAGTGTGTCTGTTCCTTAAATATCCATCCAACTCCAGCTCTGCAGTGGCCCAGGCTTCCTGCTCGACTTCCTATTTGCATCTGGCTAAAAAACAATATTAGGAAACACAGCTCAAGTGAAGAGCAGTGACCCACTAAACTGCAGCATGACCACTTAGAAACCCCAACCCATAGCTGGAGGCACAGCTGGAGCATCCACAGGGTAACACCAGGGAAGAGCTCGATTCCAGCTGGGCAAGCCCAGAGCAGCCGGTAAAAATTCAGAGAGGTTGGAGCTGTCAATATATTGAAGCAACAGATCTAGCTAATAATAACCATTGCAGTAATGACAACCTTAACCATCCCAATAGATATTAAAAATATTTCCATTATTGCACCCCTGAACACAGGAAACAGCAGCAGTGACACACTGACAGCAGTGCCAACAGCAGAGCCCCAACAGCCTCGGCTCCCCATGGCCCCTTTTGCTGCAGCCCACACAGTAACTCCCCCACGAACCAAGAGATTATAGATTAAACACACATAAAGCCCCAGATCAAAGCCGTCCACCCCTGCTTCTCATTCCAGGCATAGAACTCGGCTCATTCCACACTGGAGCTGCCTGTAGGATGGGGGAGCTGGGCAGCAAGTGACTTCAGGAACTTCTCCCACCTGTGGTGGCTGCTTTTCAGCTGGAGGAGAAGAACCGAGCAGGTTTTTGCGGGTTTTTTGTTTTGTTTTTGACAAAGAACTGCTGAAAATAGCAGAATTCCAGACTTCCTCAAATAAACACGTGAAAGCCAGCTGTGGCACCCAGCTAAGCTGATATTTCCACTTAGAAAAGAGAGACTCCACAGGGTTGTAGTCCTTCCTCCCCCCTTCTGGAGAAAGGTGGAGAGAAAAGTGTGTGACATTTCCTCTGCCTGAAATGCCTTTCACTTAGTGACTGATGAGTCAGAAATTGATGCTTTATACACATAATAATGAGATGGTACCAAGCTGTGGGATATTTATTAGGGCTTTTTCACCTAAGAACTTAAGAACAAGTCTTTTGAAGCTTGATACAAGGAAGCCTCAAGGTGGAAGAGTGCCAGAATAAGCCTTTACCATCTTTTAGAAGCAGATATCTGTTCAGGCAGGACTTGATCTCACTCCCTGAGAAACACCTCTGGTGCAGGGGTGAGCAGTGGAGCCTGGGCACTGCTCTGTACACCTGGCAGAGGTGCCTGGAGTCCTGCTGTGGGTCATAATCAACAATGAGCAACAGGAACATTCAAACAACATCCACACACTCTTTACCACACAATGAGGTCTTTCTGGCTGAGGGGAAGAAGAAATCAGAACAGTGTCCAGCACTCTGCCCTCAAAGCCTGGTAGAGCTGTTTCTCTTCCATGGATGTTTCAAAACAAGCTCCATGCCTAATACTGCCACACCTTCATCTCTTAATTTCTTCATCTCTTCACCAAAGAATCACCACAGAACTTTTATGCACAGCAACACATTAAATCCCTGACATCTGCCAGCCCTCAGCAGGAGATAAGCATTCCTGAAGGAAAGCCACTCATTCCTCACCTTGCTGTTCCATAGGAAGCCACACCACACCATTTTATCCATCCACACTGTAGGCAACAGTTCAATACTCAAATACAAATTAAGAATGGAGACAAAGAATCACAGTCTGTGTTGGGTTGGAGGGACCTTAAAGCTCATCCTGTTCCATCCCCTGCCATGGGCAGGGACACCTTCCACTAGCCCAGGTTGCTCCAAGCCCTGTCCAACCTGGCCTTGGACACTTCCAGGGATCCAGGGGCAGCCACAGCTTCTCTGGGCAACCTGGGCCAGGACCTCACCACTCTCACAGCCAAGAATTCCTTCCCAATATCCCATCCAACCCTGCCCTCTGGCAGTGGGAAGCCATTCCCCCTTGGCCTGTCCCTCCACCCCTTATCCAAAGCCCCTCTCCAGCCCCTTTAGGCACTGGAAGCCTCCCTGGAGCCTTCTCTTCTCCAGGTGAACCCCCCCAGCTGTCCCAGCCTGGGTCCAGAGCAGAGGGGCTCCAGCCCTTGGAGCATCTCCGTGGCTTCCTCTGGACTCTCTCCAGCAGGTTCACATCTTTCCTATGCTGAGGACTCCATGCTTCTGTTTAACACATAAAACCAGAGTAGATCCAGGCAGGAGGTCACTTGACAGTGCAGCAAAGCACCAGCATCAAACTGTTTCAGCCTGCCTTGAGTGAAGTTCGCAGCTGTATTTTCTTTGAACACAGGCTCTCATTATCCCAACCAGATCAGTAGTGCCATCAACACAAACCCCTTCTCACAATCTACAAGCCGATTTTACTGCTTGGAGGAATTAAGCCAAATGACCCAGAGAACATATCTGGTTTACCTGGAAGCTGACCTGAAAACATACAGTCACAGACTGCTTTGGAAGGGGCCTTAAAGTTCATCCCATTCCACCCCCTGCCCTGGGCAGGGACACCTTCCACCAGCCCAGGTTGCTCCAAGCCCAGTCCAACCTGGCCTCGGACACTTCCAGGGATCCAGGGGCAGCCACAGCTTCTCTGGGCAACCTGTTAAATCTGTCACTGCATTTAAAAGCCATTTACCAGGGTCACCCTTTGAGTTCACAAATACTTCAGGGCTAGTTTTTGGGTAGATTTTTCGAGCCCCAAGCCCTGTGGGGAGCTCAGCAGGCACCGTTCCCACTCACAGCCCCTCCCCGGCTCAGCCCACCCTGAGCCAGCGTCCACCCGACCCCTCCGAGCAGGACACGAACCTGACAACTTTCAAACTGGGGCATCTTTTCAGCAGACCCGAAGAGACCCCCCGGCAGCCCGAGCCCACCGCCCAGCTCTTCACCGGCTCCCTCCCTGATCCCAA